CCTTCCAGCACAGTGTTACATGTGACTTGATGTGTGACAGGCTCCAGATGTCTCCTTCCTGACCCTTCCAGCACAGAGTGTTACATGTGACTTGATGTGTGACAGGCTCCAGATGTCTCCTTCCAGACCCTTCAAGCACAGAGTGTTACATGTGACTTGATGTATGACAGGCTCAAGTTGTCCCCTTACTGGCCCTTCCAGCGCAGAGTGTTACATGTGACTTGATGTGTGACAGGCTCCAGATGTCTCCTTCTTGACCCTTCAAGCACAGAGTGTTACATGTGACTTGATGTCTGACAGGCTCAAGATGTCTCCTTCCTGACCCTTCCAGCACAGAGTGTTACATGTGACTTGATGTATGACAGGCTCCAGATGTCCCTTTCCTGGCCCTTCCAGCACAGAGTGTTACATGTGACTTGATGTGTGACAGGCTCCAGATGTCTCCTTCCTGACCCTTCCAGCACAGAGTGTTACATGTGACTTGATGTGTGTCAGACCTCTCCTTCCTGGCACTTCCGGCACATAGTGTTACATGTGACTTGATGTGTGACAGGCTCCAAATATCTCCTTCCTGACCCTTCCAGCACAGAGTGTTACATGTGACTTGATGTATGACAGGCTCCAGATGTCCCCTTACTGGCCCTTCCTGCACAGAGTGTTACATGTGACTTGATGTATGTCAGACGTCTCCTTCCTGGCCCTTCCAGCACATAGTGTTACATGTGACTTGATGTGTGACAGGCTCCAGATGTCCCCTTCCTGGCCCTTCCAGCACAGTGTTACATGTGACTTGATGTGTGACAGGCTCCAGATGTCTCCTTCCTGACCCTTCCAGCACAGAGTGTTACATGTGACTTGATGTGTGACAGGCTCCAGATGTCTCCTTCCTGACCCTTCAAGCACAGAGTGTTACATGTGACTTGATGTCTGACAGGCTCCAGACGTCCCCTTCATTGCCCTTTCAGCACAGAGTGTTACATGTGACTTGATGTATGACAGGCTCAAGATGTCCCCTTACCGGCCCTTCCAGCACAGAGTGTTACATGTGACTTGATGTGTGTCAGACGTCTCATTCCTGGCCCTTCAGGGACATAGTGTTACATGTGACTTGATGTGTGACAGGCTCCAAATATCTCCTTCCTGACCCTTCCAGCACAGAGTGTTACATGTGACTTGATGTGTGACACGCTCCAGATGTCCCCTTCCTGACCCTTCCAGCACAGAGTGTTACATGTGACTTGATGTGTGAGAGGCTCCAGACATCCCCTTCATTGCCCTTTCAGCACAGAGTGTTACATGTGACTTGTGAAACAGGCTCGAGATGTCTCCTTCCTGGCCCTTCCAGCACAGAGTGTTACATGTGACTTGACGTGTGACAGGCTCCAGATGTCTCCTTCCTTGCCCTTCCAGCACAGAGTGTTACATGTGACTTGATGTGTGAAAGGCTCCAGATATCTCCTTCCTGACCCTTCCAGCACAGAGTGTTACATGTGACGTGATGTCTGACAGGCTCCAGATGTCCCCTTCCTGACCCTTCCAGCACAGAGTGTTACATGTGACTTGTGTGACAGGCTCCAGACGTCCCCTTCCTGACCCTTCCAGCACAAACTGTTACACCTGACTTGATGTATGACAGGTTTCTAGATGTCTCCTTCCTTGCCCTTCCAGCACAGAGTGTTACATGTGACTTGATGTTTGACAGGCTCCAGATGTCCCCTTCCTGGCCCGTCCAGCACAGAGTGTTACATGTGACTTGATGTGTGACAGGCTCCAGATGTCTCCTTCCTGACCCTTCCAGCACAGAGTGTTACATGTGACTTGATGTATGACAGGCTCCAGATGTCCCCTTCCTCACCCTTCCAGCACAGAGTGTTACATGTGACTTGATGTGTGACAGGCTCCAGATGTCCCCTTCCTTGCCCTTCCAGCACAGAGTGTTACATGTGACTTGATGTATGACAGGCTCCAGATATCTCCTTCCTGACCCTTCCAGCACAGAGTGTTACATGTGACTTGATGTGTGACAGGCTCCAGATGTCTCCTTCCAGACCCTTCAAGCACAGAGTGTTACATGTGACTTGATGTATGACAGGCTCAAGTTGTCCCCTTACTGGCCCTTCCAGCGCAGAGTGTTACATGTGACTTGATGTGTGACAGGCTCCAGATGTCTCCTTCTTGACCCTTCAAGCACAGAGTGTTACATGTGACTTGATGTCTGACAGGCTCAAGATGTCTCCTTCCTGACCCTTCCAGCACAGAGTGTTACATGTGACTTGATGTATGACAGGCTCCAGATGTCCCTTTCCTGGCCCTTCCAGCACAGAGTGTTACATGTGACTTGATGTGTGACAGGCTCCAGATGTCTCCTTCCTGACCCTTCCAGCACAGAGTGTTACATGTGACTTGATGTGTGTCAGACCTCTCCTTCCTGGCACTTCCGGCACATAGTGTTACATGTGACTTGATGTGTGACAGGCTCCAAATATCTCCTTCCTGACCCTTCCAGCACAGAGTGTTACATGTGACTTGATGTATGACAGGCTCCAGATGTCCCCTTACTGGCCCTTCCTGCACAGAGTGTTACATGTGACTTGATGTATGTCAGACGTCTCCTTCCTGGCCCTTCCAGCACATAGTGTTACATGTGACTTGATGTGTGACAGGCTCCAGATGTCCCCTTCCTGACCCTTCCAGCACAGTGTTACATGTGACTTGATGTGTGACAGGCTCCAGATGTCTCCTTCCTGACCCTTCCAGCACAGAGTGTTACATGTGACTTGATGTGTGACAGGCTCCAGATGTCTCCTTCCTGACCCTTCAAGCACAGAGTGTTACATGTGACTTGATGTCTGACAGGCTCCAGACGTCCCCTTCATTGCCCTTTCAGCACAGAGTGTTACATGTGACTTGATGTATGACAGGCTCAAGATGTCCCCTTACCGGCCCTTCCAGCACAGAGTGTTACATGTGACTTGATGTGTGTCAGACGTCTCATTCCTGGCCCTTCAGGGACATAGTGTTACATGTGACTTGATGTGTGACAGGCTCCAAATATCTCCTTCCTGACCCTTCCAGCACAGAGTGTTACATGTGACTTGATGTGTGACACGCTCCAGATGTCCCCTTCCTGACCCTTCCAGCACAGAGTGTTACATGTGACTTGATGTGTGACACGCTCCAGATGTCCCCTTCCTGACCCTTTCAGCACAGAGTGTTACATGTGACTTGTGAAACAGGCTCCAGATGTCTCCTTCCTGGCCCTTCCAGCACAGAGTGTTACATGTGACTTGACGTGTGACAGGCTCCAGATGTCTCCTTCCTTGCCCTTCCAGCACAGAGTGTTACATGTGACTTGATGTGTGAAAGGCTCCAGATATCTCCTTCCTGACCCTTCCAGCACAGAGTGTTACATGTGACGTGATGTCTGACAGGCTCCAGATGTCCCCTTCCTGACCCTTCCAGCACAGAGTGTTACATGTGACTTGATGTGTGACAGGCTCCAGATGTCTCCTTCCTGACCCTTCCAGCACAGAGTGTTACATGTGACTTGTGTGACAGGCTCCAGACGTCCCCTTCCTGACCCTTCCAGCACAAACTGTTACACCTGACTTGATGTATGACAGGTTTCTAGATGTCTCCTTCCTGACCCTTCCAGCACAAACTGTTACACCTGACTTGATGTATGACAGGCTCAAGATGTCTCCTTCCTTGCCCTTCCAGCACAGAGTGTTACATGTGACTTGATGTTTGACAGGCTCCAGATGTCCCCTTCCTGGCCCGTCCAGCACAGAGTGTTACATGTGACTTGATGTGTGACAGGCTCCAGATGTCTCCTTCCTGACCCTTCCAGCACAGAGTGTTACATGTGACTTGATGTATGACAGGCTCCAGATGTCCCCTTCCTCACCCTTCCAGCACAGAGTGTTACATGTGACTTGATGTGTGACAGGCTCCAGATGTCCCCTTCCTTGCCCTTCCAGCACAGAGTGTTACATGTGACTTGATGTATGACAGGCTCCAAATATTTCCTTCCTTGCTCTTCCAGCACAGAGTGTTACATGTGACTTGATGTGTGACAGGCTCAAGATGTCCCCTTCCTGGCCCTTCCAGCACAGAGTGTTACATGTAACGTGATGTGTGAAAGACTCCAGATATCTCCTTCCTTGCCCTTCCAGCACAGAGTGTTACATGTGACTTGATGTGTGACAGGCTCCAGATGTGTCCTTCCTGACCCTTCCAGCACAGAGTGTTACATGTGAATTGTGTGACAGGCTCCAGATGTCCCCTTCCTGAAGGTAGGCATGAAGGTGGGCATGAAGATAGGCATGAAGGTGGGCATGAAGATAGGCATGAAGGTTGTCATGAAGATAGGCATGAAAATGGGTATGAAGGTAACTATGAAGGTAGGTATGAAGGTAGGCATGAAGATAGGCATGAAGGTGGGCATGAAGGTAGGCAAGAAGGTATACAGTCAGGTTAGGCATAAAGGTAGATATGAAGGTGGGTATAAGGGTAGGTATGAAGGTAGACATGAGGATAGGTATGATGGTTGGCATGAAGATAGGCATGAAGGTATACAGGTAGGTTGGCATGAAGGTAGGCATGAAGGTGGGCATGAAGGTAGGTATGAAGGTAGGTATGAAGGTAGGCATGAAGGTAGGTATGAAGGTAGGTATGAAGGTAGGTATGAAGGTAGGCATAAGGGTGGGCATGAAGGTGGACATGAAGATAGGCATGAAAGTGGGCTAAAGGTGGGCATGAAGGTATACAGGATAGTTTGGCATGAAGGTAGGCATGGAGGTAGGCATGAAGATAGGTATGAAGGTAGGCATGAAGGTAGGCATGAAGGTAGGTATGAAGGTAGGCATGAAGGTAGGCATGAAGGTGGGCATGAAGGTAGGCATGGAGGTGGGCATGAAGGTAGGTATGAAGGTAGGCATGAAAGTAGGCATGAAGATAGGTATGAAGGTAGGCATGACCGTAGGCAAGAAGGTATACAGTTAGGTTGGCATGAAGGTTGGCATGAAGGTAGGTATGAAGGTAAGCGTGAAGATAGGTATGAAGGTGGGCATGAAGGTAGGTATGAAGGTGGGCATGAGGTTACATGTAGGTATGACGGTAGGCATGAAGGTAGGCATGAAGGTGGGTATGAAGATAGGTATGAAGGTAGGCATGGAGTTGGGCATGAAGGTAGGTATGAAAGTAGGCATGAATGGAGGCATGAAGATAGGTATGAAGGTAGGCATGACCGTAGGCAAGAAGGTATACAGGTAGGTTGGCATGAAGGTTGGCATGAAGGCAGGTATGAGGGTAGGTATGAAGGTTGTCATGAAGATAGGCATGAAGGTATACAGGCAGGTTTGCACGAAGGTAGGTAAAAGGGTAGGTATGAAGATAGGCATGAAGGTAGGCATGATGAAGGTATACAGGTAGGTTGTGTTGAAGGTAGGCATGAAGGTATACAGGTAGGGAGGTTATGAGGGTTGGTATGAAAGGAATGCATGAAGGTAGGCGTGATGAAGGTATACAGGTAGGTTGGAATGAACACAAGTTCTCGAGAGTTAAACTTAACGATATGTTTGGCTATAACATGACTCGGATTTGTTCATGGCACTGCATGGAAAATGCGTTTTTTGTTTGTACTTCTACTAAATAGATTTTCTTCGGTTCAAAGCGTAAAAGTAACATCTTATCAGAAATAAAGCGACTCAGAGTGTTGATATTTTGGTGGAATATATAGCGCTACCATGAGGTTTAGATTCAATAAATAAAGTATTACAACACCCCGTACTTTTCATAGCACCACTATGTTACCATCCACGACATCAATTGTGCGTATTCAAGCATCAATTTACTGCATTAATTAAAATGAATGGAGTAAATTAAACACAAGAACGAACTCTTTCCATACGTTTATGTAAAGGGCAATACAAAGCGCCCAATCCTCAACAAGTTTCAATTCCAGAACACAATGTCAGTATCGGGTGTAACCCCCGCCGACCAGGATAACATCATGGACCCTTCTCATTGACTATACGAGACGTTCAATTTGACGTCGAGGTATTCTGTCCCATTCTTGGCGCAGGGCTTGGTCCAATTCGTCAAGACTTTGCAGAGGGGAATTCCTCCGACGCACTTAGGGACCGATAATGTCCCAAACATGCTCAATGGGATTAAGATCTGGGCTCCTGACAGGCCAGGGAAGTGTTGATATTGCCTCCTGACGTAGGAAATTGGCATGTGGCCTAGCGTTGTCGTCCAGAAAGACTGGCCTACTTAAGAGTGGGTGGTGATCAAAATGTGGTACAAAAATCCTGTCTAAGATGTCTGTGAGGTAACGTTGTCCATTCAGATAGCGTCTCACTGTGACTAGCTCGAGATTACAGTCATGCGACATGCATCCCCATACCATCAATGAGTCCCCACTGTATGGAACATGCTCTAAAATGTTTCTTTGAGCAAATGCTGTGTTCCTGCGGCCCCAAACACGAACTATGCCATCCGAAACAAAACAAAAGGAATCGACTCTCGTTCGACCAGTGAATCCTTTACTTTGACGTCTGATTCCAGTGACGTCGTGCTTGACACTATGCCAGCCATGGTGAATGGATGATGACGGATACATATGGGTGTTGTAGTGTGTACAGATTAAGTTTTGTTTTACTTTAAATGATAATTTGTCGTAAATTAAATCAAAATATTGTTAAAAAGTTGCTGCAAATTAATCACCTAAACGCAACCAACACGAATATTTCGTGCAATCTCGTGCAAAATGACTTTAACCGTGAAAGATTGATGCATGTGCAACACGCTGTTATTTGGAGAGATGGGGTATAAACGTGTAGCGGTCTTCTGTGACACCCGAATCAGCGTAAAAACACAACGATCATGCCAAGGCTATAGAAAGGAGACAGAAATAGTACAATAGGTACGATACACTTAGGAGCTATGCATGACCACGTGTCAAAATTTTAGGTTGTACCCGCATAACGATCAACTAAATTGATGACACGTTACAGGCATACATGCCGTACCCTGGTCAGGCCCAGGAATGGTAGACCATCCGTCACGACTCCCAACGAAGACCGGTATCTACACGTCTTATACCTGAGCAACATATTCGTCACAGTGACGTCATCGCCAGCAACTGCCCTTGGGCACCCAGTCAGTCGAAGAACTGCACCGAAGAGACTAGGGAAACACGGTATTCGTGCCGTCAGACTGTATCGCGGAACAGCCTTGACGCCTCAACAGCGACGTCAAAGATTGAGGCCGATACGGACCGTCAGCCAATGTCAGAACAGAAATTGGGAATGGGTACTCTTTTTCTGACGAAAGTCGATTCAAGTTCTTCACTCAGGATGGCATAGTTTTTATTAACTATTGACAGAGAGAACCAACGCACGTGGTTTCATTCAGAGGGTGGTGACATTCAACGGCGGTAACGTCATGGTTTGAAGTGGTACCTGTGGACAGCAGAAGCTGAGTCTCGTAGTTTTCTCATGGCACAACGCTACGTGGATGGGGTACTTCACCTAGTTGTTCTCCCGTACCTGCAACACACACCCAAGGCCAGTCCGATCCATTGACATGTCTGACATGTGTGGGATCATTTGGGATGTAAAATTAGAGCAAGAAGCTACTTGTCAAGGATGTCTTCTTTCCTATTTACTCTTCAACGTGTACATTAATGACATCATCACAGCAATGAAAAGGTTGGATGTTGGAGTAAAACTAGATCATAATATATTATCATGGCTAAAGCAGCTACGAAGTCTGCTCGACGGGCACTGGGCCTTCTGATATCCAAGTTCAAGTCACTGGGAGGAATGGAATACAGGACATACACGAACCCTTATGACTCGATTGTGTGGTCTGTGCTAGATTATGGAGCGACTGCCTGAGGAAGTCGTGAGCAGTCCACGATGAACCCAATTTACAACAGAGCAATGCGCTTCTTTCTGTGTGTCGGCAGACATACTTCAGATAGAGCAGTACGTGGGGACATGGGATGGTAGCCGTCGATAGTCGGCAGCGGAAGGCGATATCAAGACAATGGCATCAGTTGATCAACTTGACAGTAACAATATTGGTAAAAGGACATGTCTGTTGAGTGACGAAATCCGTGTTTATTTTAACTGTCCTACATACAAACACTTTCACTCTACCCTTTTCACAAAGTTACAATTAACGGTGTTAATGATTTATCTATTAGCAGTAGTTAGGTCACATTTTAGCAATTTATCATTTTACTCAGTTTTAACGCTGCAATGATATTTTACTGACGAGAAGAGCATGTATATTTTACTCACGAGAAGAGTTTGTATATTTAACTTACGAGAAGAGCACGTATATGTTTAAATTTGAATGTGTATAAATTGTATCCATATGCCTATATCTTTTATGCCTGTATACAATTTACTACCCGCTTCATATCGTATCTACCGTGAAATTCCGGATTAGAATAGGTCTTCAGCGACCCATGCTTGTCATAAGAGGCAAATAGCTTGATCTGACTTGGTTATGCATGTCATCGTATCCCATCAACGCTCATGATATCAATCACTGGATTGTCTAGTCCCGATTCGATTATTTACAGACCGCAGTCATACAGCTGGAATATTTCTGAGTGCGACGTTATACAACAAACAACAAAAAACAAATTATATCCTATATTATTGCAATCTTTCGATCTGTTATCCTTATTGGTAATATACACATACTTCGTTAACACATTGTCTGTATGATATGTTATGTGTATCTGATTGTGTCTCGTAACTCATATAGGAGTAAAATTTATTACCGTCTGTACACATCTAAACTGTATCTACGTGAGACTTTAATATACTATCCTTCTGTCTGTCCGTGATGAATAGACGTATGATGTACTCCTTTTGCCGTCGAGTATGATGTGTTTATGCCAGTGGTGGGCACACGCAATTTTAACAAAAATGTGTGACAATCATCACACCATGACTTCATTTACTGAATGCATTATTGAATGATGGAATATCGGACAACTTATCTTACCCTGGTGATATGTCATATCTTCTTCTTCTGAGGTACAGTTTCTTTTGCCCGTGAGTGTATAAATACTAATTTATTAGACAATGTGAATCTAAGGAATCTTGAGAATGTGATCCTGTGGAATGATGCCACAGACAGAGGATGTGTATGGGTGTAACATACATATGTCGTAGTGGAAACCATGTCAATAGTTTTCTTATTGTTTCAATGTTTACGAAGTGCAAGGAATTGTTAATGTCCTTTGTCTTGAAGAATCGCTGCCCACCTTTAAGCATGGGTGTAACAGAGTGACTGAGCCAGTCTCAGCCTTGGGAACATTGGTCACTCGTTCTTGGCTGCGTTCTGTCACAAGATTATCAACATGGTCCCTGACCATTATTCAACCTAAACAATACATATGACTGCTGTGGTCCTTAACTTCCATCCTTCAACTAACCCAGATCAACCCATGCTCTTGGATACATGTAAGTGTTGAGATATTAATGCCTTCATGCATCTATACATGTGACAATGTGTGGTGTGTATAGAAACTTTAAATCTTGTTAGAATGATGAAGTTATGAGTGTTGAAAATGGCATGTATCTGTGACACTGTTGTCTGTTATCAGGAAGTAAAATACTATATGAACTGTAAGATATACACCCAAAAATCCTTGGTCCTGTCATCACTGTCCCAAATCAGATTCAAGAAACTGATAACAAAACAATGGCTGAAACAAAATATATACAAAAGATGTGTCGAGGCATCTTGTATTTGGAGTATACTGCAAAACTATGACTTCTTGTATGTTCTGAAGCATAACATAATATTTCAACTCCTGACAGTTTATTGGCAAGATGTTTACAACTCAGGAAATTGCAAATGTGGGTTTCAAATGTAACCTATAAAAATAACAATCTACATACAGTTATATGTAAAATATTAAAATACAACCTGGTCCAAATGACACATAAACAAAAAATAAAAATGAAATATAGAGGATGGAAGGTAGGTCTGGACGGATATAAACTGGCAGGGATAAACACTAAATTTGACTCCAGACCCAACTGATGACTGTCGGTTCTGGTGGAGATGCTGCTGCAAACACATCTCACTCTGTCACCTACTCATCACACACTATGTTGCTAATTGAACATCTTCAATATTAATACAAGCAAGAGTCTGCTAGCAAAAAGAAGAGATGCTCCATAATTCACTTAATCTGAATTCAAAATACCCTACACTCCAAGTAAGTCTCAGGACATCTCATTATCCTAAAGACAAAATTACAAGAGTTGACTGATATTTTCTGAGCCTCATATAGAAGGAAATGTAGAACAGTGAAATCTTTTGTTGTGGACATTACAGGATATAATAAAGGTATGGTTTATGAGTCGATTAAGCAAGTTTTATCCATTGTGACATTTTAGTAAAATTAGCAGATCTGTGACCTTTGGAAAATGGACAAACTTGAGGAACATGCAGAAAAAACTTGCAGAAAAAGTGCTTAACACCAAAAGATTTCCATGAAGATATGACGACAAAACTGGGGAAGGATACTCCTTTCTATTACATGATAAAGGCGTGAGCAGCAGAGTTTAAGCAGCCCCAGGCCTGGAGGACCTTTTACACCAGCAAAACCAGAAATGATCCAGAGAATCCACAATATTGTGATTACCAACGAGTGAATCTTATTGCTAGTTCAGTAGGCATTTCCAGTAGAGAGTACATTCCATTATCAATGAAACTTTGGCAATGAAAACGTATCAGCTCTTTGCGGTCCAAAGCTTCTGACATCTGATCCAAACTGCACCAGACACAACATGTCTCGTAATGATCTAGCTCTGTTTGAAGCTGATTCAAAAAGGGTTTTGCAAAGATTTGTGACTAAGGATGAAACTTGGGTTCACCGTCTCCAGCAGGTATACAAACAACAAGCAAAAGCATTTGACATCACCACCACTAAAGAAGGAAAAGATTGACCCATCAAGTTGAAAAGGTTATGGCCTCTATGTTCTGAGATGCCGGGGTGGGGGGGGTGTTATCATGATGGATGATCTTCCAAAACACAAAACACAATAAACAGAGAATCTTATGCTGCGCTATTGGATGACTAAAAGATGTGGGAAGCTGAGAAAAGGTGTGCTCTTTCATCAGGACAATGCACCAGTGCACAAACCAGCCACTGCTATGCCCACAATCCACAACTCCTTCAGCATCCACCTTATTCTCCTAATCTGGCTCCATCAGACTTCCATCTATTCCCAAACATAAAGAAAGCTCTGTCTGGCAGCCCATAATCAAGGCACACTATGAAGTAACAGAAATGTTGCTCATGGTTTAAGAAAGCCAGGGTTCTCTTGTTTATACTTCTCAGATATTGCATGTCCAAGACATTTGGATTCATATAACTTTAAACGTAGCGTGACCTTTAAGAAGATTGACCCACTTTATATATGTTGTATCTTACCTTTGCGTTACATCATTACTTTGAAAAATTACAGTAACTAAAACCCAATACAAACTACGTGCAACCTTTTTCCACGTGACTTGGTCCCTGCAAGACCACACAATATCTTATAACTTATACTGGTGAGGAGGACATGTATCAAACCTTATCCACCACCCATACCGGGTACATACTTTTGGAGTTTCTGTGTTATTACTACTGACCCTCTAACGAGATCATGACCTTGTGAGAAACCCTGAAGTTTGCCCTAAGTCAGAAGTTGGAAACAGGATACTGCAGACCTGTGATGACTACTGACGTGACTGAGCTTGTCAGTGTGGAGTTGCAGCAAAGTTAACTTTCATGTACCGATAGTCAACTTGGAGGTTTTCCGACAGAGAATACACACATATAAACACACACGTAACAAAAATACCCTATGTCCTTGACATTCATGGTTGTTCATGATGGGACAAGAGTTTAGACAAGGTCTAGATCATGAAACAAAGGACAAAGGCATGTAAATCATCAACAATAGTACAACGATCAAGCCTAATAACTTTCCAATATTTGGGATATGTGCATGTAAGCAGTTCTCCATGCTGATTGGTCAACTGAAGTAATATCATGTGACATTGCTTCATTGTTGACAACATTACAATGTCCTTCATTGTTCATGACATGATAGACCACATTACGATTTATGACATTAGTGAAGTTATTTGTATAGGGATGACATTCCATGTGTTTTTCTGCATTTTCCTTCTTAAAATGACAGAGGCTACTAATACATAGAATACCAACTTGCAATTATGGATTATCAGAATGAATGTTGTAAGTTGCCACATACAGTGTACCATCACAAATCAACCTTGTGAGATCGGTTTGGTGTAAGTTCAATATGGCTACCACTGCGATATTCAGTTAATATATCTGCGAGGCATATAACAATGGTGGCAATCCTTGCTTCTTACCTCGCTGCCCCAGAGATATTCATGTAGCAGTTTAATAATGATGGACAATGTGCTGTACAGGTAACATATTGAGTTGAAGAAGATTATTGGTTTCCTAAGACCAGGTACACACTTCCTCCAGCAGTGAAATTCTGCTGGACAGTTAACGCACTGGAACTGTAACTGAGTGCTGGAATGTCTGTTTAAGACGTAGAGACGATCAATAACAGTTTCTCATCAACCTGTGATGGCCTCTCGACATATCAGTTCTTCAATTTCCCTCCTCACAAAGTGATCATTATGGACTGACAGTGTACAGCTGTCAACTTGAAATGATTGAGGTTTCACTAAATGAGATCCCATGATCATCATTGCTGAATAAATGTCTTTCTAGCTAGAGTCACTGTTGACCACAAATTCAATATGTTATCAAAAACCTGGTAAAGTGACAACATGTACATCAGCTAACAGAATGAACTGTGAAGGTATTAGTTTCCCAAATACTATTTAGCTGGGTTGTATGTTGTACACTTACTGCACTTGACCAAGGCATTAAGTGTACTGTGTATCCAGTGTACTCCCCACTGAAGGAGGATTCCTTGCTATGAAGGTACACTATTAAACAAGGATGAATCAACATGCATCAAACACACTTCTTTTCTAGATCAAGTATCATTTGGTTATCAGTGTTCTTGATAAAAGATGTCTTACATAATGTGTAAACTTCTCCATTGTCTTCTCCCTAAGAACATACTGTGGAATGACAATCTGAACATAGGGACACTGAAATCCCCCTGCCTCAGAGTTACTGTTGATATGAGGAGGTAACAGCCACATTGCTATCAGCCTTAATATTGTAGCTCTGGTCAGACTGTCCTCTCATAAGTGATTGGTATTGATCAGTAAATATACTGTCCAGGTTTTCTTGATTAAAAGTTGAATTGTCTCATTCCATCTTATCCTGGCAATATTCATCTGTGGAAGGCAGACAGACACAAACCACACTTCAAAGTAAACTAATTGTGGGAATGATAACAATAAATATGACTACATTCTGGCATTAATGTCAATAGCTTCAGAAAAGGTAGAGCTCTGTGCTACAGTATGTTTGTTGGAATGTCGAAAGACAAATCTCAGAGAAGTGGGGAGTTTCCAGTAGAAATAGAACTTCCATGATTGATATCATCAGAACATGTTCTCATTGTGTCTGCTCATCATGCCTAATAGTGCAAAATTTAGTTGCTTGACCGTTATTTTCGTATGGCACATGGCAAAAACATATTTCACCTTTCACACAAAACAAATTTTGCTTTACACAGGTATGGTGCTGACAAACCAGGCATCATAATCAGGGTTTCAAACTAGGGCTGGGAGGGTAACTCGGGTACTCGGGTTGAGTCGGTCCTGAGTAGGACTTGGGTACCCACAGGACTACCCGGACCCATGGTTAGTCACATGATTTATTGTTTAATGACAAAAATTATCTAAAAATCTATGGTTACACTACAAATCACTAATGTTCCCACTTCTTTCTGACAATGCACCCATTCCTTCTGTCTTTCATATGTTTGAATAAAGATAAAACTCCATGCAGTAAACTTCACCTTATGCATGACCAGATCGTTTTACACATGTATCTAAATACATTTTGCCAGGGCCAGGGTCAAACTTTTCCAAATCGGACAGTTTGTACCTATCTCTAAATATCTACATCGGGTACCCGGGTAGGGTCGGGTAATAGGGTGGAGGGTACCTGGGTAGGTGATTTGGACTTTTCCCAGTACTATTTCAAACCCTTGATGACTGGACTCTGGCATGCCTAACTAGGGACGCAACTCCAACGCAATATTCCAGTTCTAGATATTTTGCACAGTGCTCAGAAACATGTCATATGGAGGAATTCATGTTGTCACATGTCATTTCAATACTGTGTACTTTCCTCCTGGTGCTAAGATGCTTGCACACTACATCACTAACATTGATGACAAATCATAAAAGCACCACCACATAAGTCCATGGACCAGTTGATCCCATCACTCAGGTTTCAGGTTCAGTTTCTGCGATGGACATAAGAATGGATAAGAACATCCTTCAATAAAAACCTTAAATACACAAACAAGATAATGTGCTATCTTAGAAAAACCAAACAAATAAATATTTGCCTGATAACCTGCCTGTAAATATATTTTGAACATCCTAAATATATGAAATATGCCCTGCAATGACTGAAATATTATTAAAACTGTCCCCATATATTTTAAAAAGATATTATTCTATGGTGTTTGATTTGAAACCATCCCAGTGATAACAAATGTTATCCATGTGAATAATTTGTGTCAAGTATAAGTGCAGCAAGTAAGCTGCCTCTGCAATACAGAAATGCCGTCTGGGATGACTCGTCCCTATGTTTTCCATCAGTATGATAAAACCCGAATGACAGAAATATGGTGGTCAAATGGACAATTGCTTTGCTTCCCTACACTAATATGTAGCATATTGATCATCTTCATAACAGTCACAATCTAGTAATTAAGTTCTTGTGCCAGTATTAGGTATGACCATTGTCAAGCAACACTGAAATCTAATCATCATGAAGTTATTCATATCATGCCAATAAGTAATATCACATTTGGTTTAACCATAAAACTGTCATGCTCTGATAATATCTATATGTGAAGAGGCCCCTGGTGGTACACTCATCTGTAGATCTTGGGTATATAATGAGTCTCCGTATTTCAGTATTACCTTTACTAAGAAATAATAGAAAATATCTCTTGAACAGCGTACATACAAAAGGTATAACAATTGATTTGTTATGATTTCTACAAATGTAAAAGTAAGGCTCTTTAAAAGAACCACATTTTGGTAATTCAGAAATAATGCCATGAGAAAGCCGACAAATGTCAAACTATATGCATTGGCTTATCTTGTAGCACTTAACAGGGAGGTTATGAGGGGTATTTGAAAAGTTCCAAGCCTAATGACAAGCCAGTGAGGGAGTATGGTTTTATACTGCTTTTACCAATATTACAACACGTACTATCCATATTAAAATGGGATAAAAACATTGTACCAATGTTGGGAATCATACATGTGTCTTTGCAGTGACAAGTGGACACTTTTACTACCAGGCCGCCCCACGGCCTCACCTAATCATCCAAGATGTATTGTACACCCTGTAACAGTTTGAAAGTATTATGTACAAAAATGTACATGTTTACAGGCTGACTTTGAACCAAATACACACTTATGCAACATATGTCTGCTGGCATCGAAGTGACTAGGTATTCTTTGTTGAGGATAATGGACTAAATAAGCTACAACACTGTCATCAAGTATCTCAAAATGTCAGTGCTAACTCCAACAGCCATCCATGCATACATGTCAACTTTGGAGGAGGATGCTCCTTCCTCTCCCACTGTTAGGGGTGGGTTATGGAGTTCAAGAGGGGAAGAGAGAGCCTTGAACATGATTCAAGATCAGTGAGGCCTTCAACGGACACATGTCACACAGCCAATACAATGGGCATCTCTCATGAGAGAGTACAGAACATTCTGAGGAATGAACTGGACAAAGGTTTCAGCATGCTTGGTTCAAAGGTTTCTGACTCCTTGTAATCATATCTTGTGAGAATTTACATTGTTTTAAAGCAGACCCAGCTGATCTTGTTGAGCGATGTGTAACCATGTATGAGTCTTGGGTTCACCACAATCAGCCAGAGACAACAGTCAAAGCAGTAGAAACATCTAATGTCTCTTCCTCCAGTGAAGACAAAAGTGATGGCTTCGTTGTTTAGGGACTCCAAAAGAATGGTACTGGTGGACCACTTCCCGAAAGGTCTGCCCATCAATGGCCAATTTTATACTAATCTTCTTCAGCAGGAGGGAGCCTTCTACACCAGTAGGATCCAGCTTCATTGACATAAGAATTCTGTTAAAAAGTAACCAGCAACCAACTGCACCAACAGTCTATCATAGATAGGCTCAGAACTTTTCAGCCACCCCTCATATGTATATATCAGAATCCCAGTAAGATGTTGCTAGAGAAATACTGATTGCCTCCCTGGGGGATGTAGCAATACGCTATGGTGACATCAAGCTTTGGGGCTTTTCTCCACAAGACAGAGAAGTACTGACTCAGTGTTATCAGCCCAAACATCACCTATCTAATTTAAAACTGTTCAGCTCTAGTGTTCTTGTTTAGATTAATTGGGTAATAGCTACTTGATAAGATATAGTTAGAGATAGCTCTTTGAGGCCATTTGTTATTGTCTTAATCAAGCCTGGCACACAATTAATATTCTGTCATTTTCGTGAGTGATGATTGTGGCAACCAGTGGCGATAGTACATATAGGAAATGATGTATTTAAAATTTGGAACATCATAAGGTATTTATATAACCTTCAAGTTTTCCAGTTGAACCGGGCCATTTACACAAGTCTCCAACTCCATCCATCAAGCATTTCAGGAGACGTTGGAAACATGAATGGCTTGACAATGGACAATGATGGACTGGCCTTGTAAGAGTAAAATAGGTCAACTACAAATTATGTGGTTTATACACAAATGGAAAATCTACACTGCCTTTGAAAACAAGGTACACGTGATCCTTGCCTCATCCTCAACTTCAGAACTATAACAACAAATAAAACAGGAACATAGCTTTCCCATTTTGAAAACATTCGTTCAGCAAACTACAATGTAATTGATGGAGCAAGAAGGGTCACATACAAAATGTGTGTCTTCAATATGTAAACTATTAACAATGAAAACCCAAAGTTTGATTCACATTATGGATTCTGTAGCATTTCTGAGAACAAGCCAAACCAACATATGGACAAGTAGCCTACAATGTGTACAAAACAATACATGTTGGGAACATATGCCTGAGTACACACATGGTAAATTAAAGGGGCAGATTACAAGCATGATTACAGATTCATTGGAACATTTCCCATCAACATGGTTATCTCTGCTTGACGATTCACACATAATACAAAGTCTTCAATACATTTGCACTTATGTTAGGTGCTGGATCATCACAGGGTGGTTTTCATCAGGGTGCTCCTTGTGCCCTGAAAATCTATTAAGCTTTGTTGCCATATTTCTCCAGATGTTCTTCCAAAGTCTTCACAATTCTCTGTAACCAAAATATACATGAATGAAGGTTTTTAAGCACATATGCAAAGTGATAAAACTTGGATAACAGAAGTAAAGTCTATCAAGGAGATCTTTCATCACTTACAATGTCTGATAAGAGAAGGATCGTCTATCAAGAAGGATCCTTCATCACTTACAATGCCTGATAAGAGAAGGATGGTCTATCAAGAAGGATCCTTCATCACTTACAATGTCTGATAACAGAAGGATGGTCTATCAAGAAGGATCCTTCATCACTTACAATGTCTGATAAGAGAAGGATGGTCTATCAAGAAGGATCCTTCATCACTTACAATGTCTGATAAGAGAAGGATGGTCTATCAAGAAGGATCCTTCATCACTTACAATGTCTGATAACAGAAGGATGGTCTATCATGAAGGATCCTTCATCACATGCAATGTCTGATAACAGAAGGATGGTCTATCATGAAGGATCCTTCATCACTTACAATGTCTGATAACAGAAGGATGGTCTAACACTTTATAAGCACTTGGCTTCTCTGATTTAGAAATATACAACTGAACAAAGGTTTCTGCCATGACAGATGAACTATAGTAATGTGAAGGAGTCCAGTAGTCCTTCACCTTTTCTAGTAGTATAGTTTATCAATGTTTTGTTTTCACAGGACACAACTGGTTGGCTGTATTATTACTAATAGTCTGCAAATGAAGGCTAAACAAGACTTACCCGTCTATCCATGGAGTGTGCCATTTCTACTGCTGTCTTCCCATACTAAAACAAACAGATTAATCATCACCCATTGTCACCATATCAACAAGCAACCATAAGGGTTGTCACACTATTTTGCACAATTTTAATAATGGAGGGCTGTATACCAATATCATTAATAAAGAAAATGGGATTTATGTAAAATATAAATGAAAGACTGTTTTATACTAAGAATAAAATAACAATTATTATTTGAGATTTCACACAAGCTGCCAACAAACATAAAGGTAACTCTGAAAGCAGGACAGGCATATTTGAAATATTCACTCAATGCCCAGCACAGCTTGTAGTATTTGTAGTATATGGTAACAGTGTAAATTTGAAGCTAAACCCTGCAATATTACTCAATGTTTCCAAGAATAGCATCAAGTATGATCATTGTACAAGCACATGATTTTCCCCTGGGACCACCAAATAAAGATCATAACAGTGCCTCTCTCAATCTAAAAACATATCATCTAACCTTCAACATAATGTCAGAGCAAGTTAAATACTGTTTTCTCCTTTCTGGCTAAATGCAGCACATGATAATGTGGTGATGTATGTGAGGATGGTGATGGTCTGCCACAGTAAACCCATCTTTCATTTCACCAAATACTGTCACACTATCTTGTCTTGTTCTCATTCACTGTAATTATCAATCTCACAGTTGTTTAGTGAGGATCAAGAGCAATGTAATCCTACTTGCATGCTAATGAAAAGATTGAGTGTGTGAATGTTGTTTTAAGGCAGTCAGAAGTATTCAGGTCTAACACTGCAACCTTAAAATGAGTCTGGGACAGGCAAACCAATGGGTTATAGCATGAGCATTATCTATGCCATTGGGAAATGAGGCCACACAATCAACAGGGTCACACACTGTAACAAAAGGATTATAGTGTTAATCAGGTAGTGTGACAAGCATGGCAACTGTTATCTATTCTGCCCTGAAATACCTACAGGTGCCAATAAGATAGACAAATAGTTACTGCATTTATGAAACTCCTATGAGGATCTGAGTGAGCATAGTTCCCCAACACTCTACTGCTTGCTGTGGAAGGTTACCATGTACCACTTGGGTCATTAGATGCCAGTGACATTTGGCTCATAATATTAACCACTGGAGTGAGTGAGTGAGTGAGTGAGTGAGTGAGTGAGTGAGTGAGTGAGTGAGTGAGTGAGTGAGTGAGTGAGTGAGTGAGTGAGTGAGTGAGTGAGTGAGTGAGTGAGTGAGTGGGATTCGAACGCTTTAACCACTAGGCTACCCGGCCGCCCCTAACCACTGGAATGTTTAGCTGATATCAGTTATCTAAATGCCTCCATAATAAAGCTGAAACATTGCTTAACTGCTGCTTAAACGACAAACAAATCATTAAGATCAATATGCTATGTACCTCATTTTTCACTGTGATATCTGCTCTTCTTTGAAGAAGGAGTTCCACCAGGTTTTGATGGCCATTGATAATCCCTATCATAAGTGCTGTCTTGCCATCATTGTCTTGGGCATTGATTTCCGCACCATTCATCAGGAGAGACAGAGCCACGTCCCTGTTACCTCCCACAGAAGCTGAAACATGTACCAACATAATCAGAGCCACCTCCCACAAAAGCTGAAACATGCACAAACATAATCAGAGCATCCTCCCACACAAGCTGAAACATGTTCCAACATTATCAGAGCCACCTCCCACACAAGCTAACACATTAAAAAAAACATAATCAGAGCCGACCCCCATGCAAGCTGAAACATGCACCAATATACGACACCTCCCACACAAGCTGAAACTTGCCCTATCATAGGCCACCTCCCACACAAGCTGAAACATGCACCAACATAATCAGAGCCACCTCCCACACAAGCTGAAACATGCACCAACATAATCAGAGCCACCTCCCACACAAGCTGAAACATGCACCAACATAGGCCACCTCCCACACAAGCTTAAACATGCACCAACATAATCAGAGCCACCTCCCACACAAGCTGAAACATGCCCCAACATAGGCCACCTCCCACACAAGCTGAAACAAGCACCAACATAATCAGAGCCACCTCCCACACAAGCTGAAACATGCACAAACATACGACACCTCCCACACAAGCTGAAACATGCACCGACATAATCAGAGCCACCTCCCACAAAAGCTAAAACTTGCCCCATCATAGGCCACCTCCCACACAAGCTGAAACATGCACCAACATAATCAGAGCCACCTCCCACACAAGCTGAAACATGCACCAACATAGGCCACCTCCCACACAAGCTTAAACATGCACCAACATAATCACAGCCACCTCCCACACAAGCTAAAACATGCATCAACATAGGCCACCTCCCACACAAGTTGAAACATGCACCAACATAATCAGAGCCACCTCCCACACAAGCTAAAACATGCACCAACATAATCAGAGCCACCTCCCACACAAGCTAAAACATGCACCGACATAGGTCACCTCCCACACAAGCTGAAACATTCACCAACATAATCAGAGCCACCTCCCACACAAGCTAAAACATGCACCAACATAATCAAAGCCACCTCCCACACAAGCTGAAACATGCACAAACATAATCAGAGCCACCTCCCACACAAGCTAAAACATGCACCAACATAATCAGAGCCACCTCCCACACAAGCTAAAACATGCACCGACATAGGCCACCTCCCACACAAGCTGAAACATGCACAAACATAATCAGAGCCACCTCCCACACAAGCTGAAACATGCCCCAACATAGGCCACCTCCCACACAAGCTGAAACATGCACCAACATAATCAGAGCCACCTCCCACACAAGCTAAAACATGCACCAACATAAGTCACCTCCAACACAAGCTGAAACATGCACCAAAATAATCAGAGCCACCTCCCACACAAGCTGAAACATGCACCAACATAATCAGAGCCACCTCCCACACAAGCTAAAACATGCACCAACATAATCAGAGCCGCCGCCCATACAAGCTGAAACATGCACCAACATAGGTCACCTTCCACACAAGCTGAAACATGCACCAACATAATCAGAGCCACCTCCCACACAAGCTGAAACATGCCCTAACATAGGCCACCTCCCACACAAGCTAAAACATGCACCAACATAATCAGAGCCACCTCCCACACAAGCTAAAACATGCACCAACATAATCAGAGCCACCTCCCACACAAGCTAAAACATGCACCGACATAGGCCACCTCCAACACAAGCTGAAACATGCACAAACATAATCAGAGCCACCTCCCACACAAGCTGAAACATGCCCCGACATAATCAGAGCCACCTCCCACACAAGCTAAAACATGCACCAACATAGGTCACCTCCAACACAAGCTGAAACATGCACCGACATAGGCCACCTCCCACACAAGCTAAAACATGCACCAACATAATCAGAGCCACCTCCCACACAAGCTAAAACATGCACCAACATAATCAGAGCCACCTCCCACACAAGCTGAAACATGCACCAACATAGGCCACCTCCCACACAAGCTAAAACATGCACCAACATAATCAGAGCCATCTCCCATACAAGCTGAAACATGCACCAATATAGGTCACCTTCCACACAGCTGAATCATGCCCCAACATAGGCCACCTCCCACACAAACTGAAACATGCCCCAACATAATCAGAGCCACCTCCCACACAAGCTAAAACATGCACCAACATAGGTCACCTCCAACACAAGCTGAAACATGCACCGACATAATCAGAGCCACCTCCCACACAAGCTAAAACATGCACCGACATAGCTATAGGCCACCTCCCACACAAGCTGAAACATGCACCACATAATCAGAGCCACCTCCCACACAAGCTGAAGCTACATGTTCATGGCACCCACCTTGATGTGACACACAGAAGTATTGTATCTGTCATCACTATATTCTCATGGCACCTTATATGACACACAGAAGTATTGTATCTGTCATCACTATATTCTCATGTCACCTTATATGACACACAGAAGTATTGTATCTGTCATCACTGCATGTTCATGGCACCCACCTTAATGTGACACACAGAAGTATTGTATCTGTCATCACTATATTCTCATGTCACCTTATATGACACACAGAAGTATTGTATCTGTCATCACTACATGTTCATGGCACCTTAATGTGACACACATAAGTATTGTATCTGTCATCACTACATGTTCATGGCACCTTATATGACACACAGAAGTATTGTATCTGTCATCACTATATTCTCATGGCACCTTGATGTGACACACAGAAGTATTGTATCTGTCATCACTATATTCTCATGGCACTTTATATGACACACAGAAGTATTGTATCTGTCATCACTACATGTTCATGGCACCTTGATGTGACACACAGAAGTATTGTATCTGTCATCACTATATTCTCATGGCACTTTATATGACACACAGAAGTATTGTATCTGTCATCACTATATTCTCATGGCACGTTGATGTGACACACAGAAGTATTGTATCTGTCATCACTACATGTTCATGGCACCTTGATGTGACACACAGACGTATTGTATCTGTCATCACTACATGTTCATGGCACCTTAATGTGACACACAGAAGTATTGTATCTGTCATCACTATATTCTCATGTCACCTTATATGACACACAGAAGTATTGTATCTGTCATCACTGCATGTTCATGGCACCCACCTTAATGTGACACACAGAAGTATTGTATCTGTCATCACTATATTCTCATGTCACCTTATATGACACACAGAAGTATTGTATCTGTCATCACTACATGTTCATGGCACCTTAATGTGACACACAGAAGTATTGTATCTGTCATCACTACATGTTCATGGCACCTTATATGACACACAGAAGTATTGTATCTGTCATCACTATATTCTCATGGCACCTTGATGTGACACACAGAAGTATTGTATCTGTCATCACTACATGTTCATGGCACCTTGATGTGACACACAGAAGTATTGTATCTGTCATCACTATATTCTCATGTCACCTTATATGACACACAGAAGTATTGTATCTGTCATCACTACATGTTCATGGCACCTTGATGTGACACACAGAAGTATTGTATCTGTCATCACTATATTCTCATGGCACTTTATATGACACACAGAAGTATTGTATCTGTCATCACTATATTCTCATGGCACGTTGATGTGACACACAGAAGTATTGTATCTGTCATCACTACATGTTCATGGCACCTTGATGTGACACACAGACGTATTGTATCTGTCATCACTACATGTTCATGGCACCTTAATGTGACACACAGAAGTATTGTATCTGTCATCACTACATGTTCATGGTACCTTGATGTGACACACAGAAGTATTGTATCTGTCATCACCATATTCTCATGTCACCTTGATGTGACACACAGAAGTATTGTATCTGTCATCACTACATTCTCATGGCACCTTGATGTGACACACAGAAGTATTGTATCTGTCATCACTACATGTTCATGGCACCTTGATGTGACACTCAGAAGTATTGTATCTGTCATCACTACATGTTCATGGCACCTTAATGTGACACACAGAAGTATTGTATCTGTCATCACTACATGTTCATGGCACCTTGATGTGACACTCAGAAGTATTGTATCTGTCATCACTACATGTTCATGGCACCTTAATGTGACACACAGAAGTATTGTATCTGTCATCACTACATGTTCATGGCACCTTGATGTGACACACAGAAGTATTGTATCTGTCAACACCATATTCTCATGTCACCTTATATGACACACAGAAGTATTGTATCTGTCATCACTATATTCTCATGGCACCTTGATGTGACACACAGAAGTATTGTATCTGTCATCACTACATGTTCATGGCACCTTGATGTGACACTCAGAAGTATTGTATCTGTCATCACTACATGTTCATGGCACCTTAATGTGACACACAGAAGTATTGTATCTGTCATCACTACATGTTCATGGCACCTTGATGTGACACTCAGAAGTATTGTATCTGTCATCACTACATGTTCATGGCACCTTATATGACACACAGAAGTATTGTATCTGTCATCACTATATTCTCATGGCACCTTGATGTGACACACAGAAGTATTGTATCTGTCATCACTACATCTTCATGGCACCTTGATGTGACACACAGAAGTATTGTATCTGTCATCACTATATTCTCATGGCACTTTATATGACACACAGAAGTATTGTATCTGTCATCACTACATGTTCATGGCACCTTGATGTGACACACAGAAGTATTGTATCTGTCATCACCATATTCTCATGGCACCTTGATGTGACACACAGAAGTATTGTATCTGTCATCACTACATGTTCATGGCACCTTGATGTGACACACAGAAGTATTGTATCTGTCATCACTATATTCTCATGGCACTTTATATGACACACAGAAGTATTGTATCTGTCATCACTACATGTTCATGGCACCTTGATGTGACACACAGAAGTATTGTATCTGTCATCACTATATTCTCATGGCACTTTATATGACACACAGAAGTATTGTATCTGTCATCACTACATGTTTATGGCACCTTGAAGTGACACTCAGAAG